AAACAAACAAACAAACAAACCAGTAACAAATGCTGGTGGGGCTGTGGGGAAAAAGGAACCCTCTCCACTGTTGGTGAAACTGTAAACTGGTGCAATCACTGTGGAAATTAGTGTGCAGATTCCTCAAGAAGCTAAAACTAGAGATATTCCCCTTCTCAGTATGTTCCTGAAATAACTTTTTTTGTTTTTTTGAGACTGGGTCTCTGTAGTTCAGGCTTGGCCCCAAACTCACTATGTAGTCCAGGCCAGCCTTAAATTCACAGCAATCCCCCTGTCTCAGCCTCCTGAGCGATAGGCTTAAAGGCACGCACCACCATGCCTGGCTTATTCCTGAAATTAACAGCATTATACCACACAGATATATGCACACATTTATAGCAGCAATGCTAGATCTTGGAGACAGCCCAAATACCCACCAACCAATGAATGGATAAAGAAGATGTGATTTTTTTTTTTATACAGTGGACTATTACTCTGCCATAAAGAAGCTCAAGACATTTCTGTTAAATGAATGCACCTTGAGACCATACCCTTTCAGTGAAATAAATTGGAGGCACATGTTTAAATACTGCATCATTTCTCTGATGTGAGAAAATAAAAGTGTAAGTAAGGATGAAAATATATAATAGATATTGGGAAATGGGAAGAAAATGTTCAAGTGAAAAGGGGAACAAGGAAAGGGGGTTGAAGGAAAGGAAGAAAGGGACAAGAAAAATAAGAAGGAAAAAATGTAAACAAAACTTTCCAAAACAAAACAAAACTTGTAAATAAGGTGAGGAAGAGAAGTTGAAAGGTTGGGGGGGAATGGAAAAGGAAAAAAAAAGCAGAAGAAACAAGATATATCATGTAGTTAGGTGTGGTGGCACATGCCTGTAATCCCAGCACTCAGGAGGCTGAGGCAGGAGGATCGCCAGAAGATGGAGGCCAACCTGGGCTACATAGTAAGTTCAAGGCCAGCCTGGACTACATAGCGAAACCCTGTCTCAAAAAGAAAAAAAAAGGTGTAACATGTTCAGGTACAAATCCCCTATGACCAGTGTGAACATTATGTGTATCTGAAATGTACCAATAAAAAAAGAACCGTCCATAACAACTCACACCACCACTGAAGCCAAACTGGCTTTCTAAAAGAAATCTGCTACAGCCATTGCCCAGCCCTAAAAACCTTTAGCTCTTCCCTCTCTCCTAGGAGTTTGGACTCTCGGTAGTGGACATAATGCCTTTCAGAACCTAACCTCTAGCCAAGTGTGGTGGCCCACTCCTGTAATCCCTGCACTTGGGTGGCTGAGACAGTGAGGCAGGAGGGTCGCTAAGTTCAAGGCCAACCTGGGATACATAGTGAGTTGAAGGCCAGCCTGAAGTGCATAGTGAGACCCTGTCTCAAAGAAAATCTAATCTCTTCCCATCCTGGAGACTTCTCTCAGTATTTCTCTATCCAAACTATGAACGAGGCTTCCTAAGAGACGTGCTTTTTCTTGCTTTCCTGTCTTTCCTCCTGCTGTCCTTGCCGCTGGGAAGAAATCGGTGCGAACCTCCACTGAGCTAAACAGCAACTCGATTTTCAAGCCTCAATTCAAGCGTTATTTCCTTCCCATCCTTCCTAAAGCCCTCCCTCCCAGAAGGTAGGCTGGGTGCCACTCCAGGGCGCCGTGCCTCCCTCTCCCACGGCACGTATCGTTCTAAAATCAATAAGCCTGGGTGTCTGCCCCCTCCCAGAAAGCCAGTTCTTGGATAACAGGTACAGTATCTTTCTCCTCTCCATCCCCAGCACCAGCTTATAGCAAGCATCAACAAAACGTGAATGAATGGTTTGTGGGGGCATCCCCAGCACCATGAACCGATGGCCAGGGAATATATTTGAGACGAATAACGGTGAGGATATCTGAGGCCAGGTGTGGCCCTGGGAGGCGGAAGGGACGAAACCGGAGCGGGCTCACATACCACACGTTTTCTTCTCCACCATTTGCGCAACACAGCTGCCGGAAGAGCTCGCGGCGCAGGTGCACTAAACCAAAGGCGTTCGTAGCGCCATCACTTCCGGTGCGTGTATTTCTACGCGTGCGCAAAAATGCTCTATCGCGTGGAGTCTTTACGTGGTGTTTCCTTGGAGACCAGAAAGCTTTCCGCCATATTTTCTAGGGGCAAAGCGACTTCCGCCCTCAACGTAATTGGGGAAATTTGTGAGAGCCCCAAAATGGGTCATTTTAAAGAAGTGGTGCCGGTAGTCTTTGGAGATACAGTATTTTCCTTGGGCTCTTCTTATGGTGCTATTGTCTCAAGTGCACCCCTACAGCTTCTCCCAGGACAGCAGATTGCCTAAGAAAGCGGGCAAGCTGGGGGTAGGATGGCCCTCGGCGGAATATTCAGATCCAGTTCCTCTGGACTGTAATGCAGACCCGCGGAGGGCTCCTCTGCCTCCTCCCTCCTCACCGCCTTGCCCTCCCCCTCTTCCGCCCTGTTGGGGAACAGGGCTGTGGCCACAACCCGCCCCCGCGTCCAGCTGGACCCTCCCGTGGGGTCACTTCCCCTCATGGTTTTGGTGTTCTCGCTGCCGAGCGGGCGGTGGGCCCGGCAGGCTCTAATAGCTGCCCCAGCTCCTCCCTGTCTCACGGTCCGGCGCCACCTCTGCTACCCGGCGCAGCCCGCGCGCTCCTGCCAGGGACAATCCTCGCCTTGTCTCGCCGCCTTCAATCTCGAGTTTTCTGAAGCCTCAGGTTACGCCTTTTTTCCAGGGCGGAGCTCCAGCCCGGCTCCTTCTAGCAGCGGGCCGCTCCGCCGCCCGGGTTCCCTCTTCCCAGAACCTTCTCCAGAGCTGGGATCCAGGCGCGCAGCCCAGCCCGGTGCGGACCCATGGGCCGCCCTGGCTTGCCCCCTGCCATGGCCTCGGGACCCTGGCTTCTGCTCCTATCCCTGCTGCTGTTCCTGCTTCCTCCGCCTCCGGGGGCCTATGCCTCCAACCAGCCTCGGGGCAGCAACCCCGTCAACCCAGGTGAGAATCCGGGGCAACCCCTCCGAGAGTGCCAGCCCAGCCTTTGAGGGGTTGAGGGGTTGTGAGCTCCAGGGGCTCCAGCTGTCCCCGGCTTCGGCGTGCCTTGGGCAGAAGAGAGCAGCTCCTCACACACTCTTCATCCTGAGTTGGGTTCCAGCCTCCCCAAGGAAAACTGACCCTAAATCCCAGTGTGTCACTCCTTCCCACCCCTCGCTGAGGTGGAAATGTTCCTGGGCCAGAAAAGTTTAAGAGGGATCTGGAAAGAAGTGGGGGAAGAGGACTATGGTGGACTTACTGGGAGGCTAGGGGCCCTATGGGAGATCAGAGCTCGTGAAGAACGGAGCAGTGGGTGGATCTCAAGTGTGGATTCCTGGCTGGTGACAGAGAAACTGCTGGTGATCACCGTGGCCACCGCGGAGACAGAGGGATACCGAAGGTTTCTGCAGTCCGCAGAATTCTTCAACTACACTGTGCGGGTAAGGAAGGGCCTCTGGGCTGAGTTCCAGCAGGAACAGGCTGAGGGCTGGTGCCTGGGTCCCCAGCATGAGTCTGATTAGTAGCACCCACACACACTGGCTGAACCCCTCCCTGGCACGATGGGTCTCCCCCACAGACCCTGGGTCTGGGTGAGGAGTGGCGAGGTGGTGATGTGGCTCGAACAGTTGGTGGAGGACAGAAGGTCAGGTGGCTCAAGAAGGAAATGGAGAAATATGCCGACCAAGAGGACATGGTCATCATGTTTGTAGACAGGTAAGGGGGCTGGGATGGAGAGAAAGAGGGAAAACAGGAGGGATAAGGATGCTGAGGTTCTGAGTGGCCTCCTGTCTGTCCTGCCCTTCCTTGCCCAGCTACGATGTGATTCTGGCTGGCAGCCCCTCGGAGCTGCTGAAGAAGTTCGTCCAGAGCGGCAGCCGCCTTCTCTTCTCTGCAGAGGGCTTCTGCTGGCCAGACTGGGGGCTGGCAGAGCAGTACCCTGAGGTGGGCACAGGGAAGCGCTTCCTCAACTCCGGTGGTGAGTGGCAGGGTGCCTGAGGCAGAGAGGCCAAAAGTGGTGGGTTGTAGAGTGTTCCAGATGCCTGTGGGCTAGAGAGGGAGTGGGGCTGGGTCTGTGAGACCCCCAGGAATCTTGGAGCCAGGCCCTTTCCTGCCCCCTCCCTTAGGGTTCATTGGCTTCGCTCCCACCATCCACCAAATTGTCCGCCAGTGGAAGTACAAGGATGACGACGATGACCAACTGTTCTATACAAGACTCTACCTGGACCCTGGGGTCAGGGTAAGAAGGGAGAGAGGGTGGGGTACCCCACTCCCTGTGGGGCTGGAAAACCTTGGGCTGAATGGGTGAGAAGGCAGGAAGAGGGCTTGGGGAGGTGTAAAGAGAAAAGGTGAGAATCCTAGCACTCTGGGAGGCTGAGGCTGGAGGGTCACAAGTTTGAGCCCAGCCTGGGCAATATAGCAACTTAGTGAGACCTTGTCTCAAAATAAAAAAAAAAAAAAGCTGGGGTTGTAGCTGAGTGTGAAAGGCCTAGTTCAATCCCCAATACCACACACATGCACACACGCACACACCAAAAAAAGACACAAAGAGGGATGAGAGGGAGAAATGATGTCCTCCTGTCCCCGTCAGCTAACCACTCCATCCCATCCCATCCAGGAGAAATTCAGCCTTAATCTGGATCACAAATCCCGGATCTTCCAGAATCTCAATGGGGCTTTAGGTGAGGAAAAAGGCCATCCAGCGGTGAGCAACAAGAGGTTCTTGCTATGAGGGTCCTGGGTTGAGGGGCTCCTAGTGGAGCTGGTCTGGTCTGCAGCTCACCTGTCTGTTACCTTCTTCAGACACCTGTGTAAGTTTTGCAGCACTAGCGGTAATAGGCATGGAAGCAGTGGTAGGTGTCCTAACACCCCCCAGGCACAGACTGTGTGCCCAAGGAACCGAGCCCGGGGCTTTGCCTCTTCGTCATTGAACACACAATCCTCCAAGGAGGCTCCCTCGCCGTCCACCTTGGACAGACCCTTAGATGGGCAAGGAAATCCATGCACAGGTATCGGGTATCAGATGGTGGACCTCTCTACAGTAGCCCAGTCAGGACTCTTGGAGAGGGATGGCTTCTGCCCCGACAGAGCTGTGGTCCCAGGCCATTTGGCCTAGGGACCCCTTTTTCCTCTAGAGAAACTGGGAACCCACACTTAGAAGCACCTCTAGCCCAGCAGCTCCCAAAGAAAGGGAGTGTGAAACCTGGCCTTTCTTCTCCAGATGAGGTGGTTTTAAAGTTTGACCGGAATCGGGTGCGCATCCGGAACGTGGCCTACGACACACTCCCTGTTGTGGTCCATGGAAATGGCCCCACTAAGGTACTCCCCCCCTGGCCTCTGCCCCTGCCTGTCCCAAGCCCTGGGTACCCCTGACCCTCCTGAGCAGTCAGCCCTCCCCAGTCCCAGCAACAGAGGTGCTGGGACAGCTTCCCCTTCACCCCAGGGACCGTCAAGCCTGGCCCTGCCGTGGGCCTGACCGCCCTCCATCACATCTGTCCCTGAGGCCCCTGCTGCTTCCATCTCTCCCAACAGCTCCAGCTCAACTACCTGGGGAACTACGTCCCCAATGGCTGGACTCCCCAGGGAGGCTGCGGCTTCTGCAACCGGGACCGGAGGACACTCCCGGGGGGGCAGGTGAGGTGGGAGCCCCCGGAACAAAGGCTCAAGGAGGATTCTGGGTGGCTGCAGAGCAAAGGTCTGGGTACTCAGAGGTACCTCCTGGGAATGGGGAGTTGGGGGTAGGCAGAAGCCTGGGCTCCTCCTGACCCACTTCCTGCTTTATCCTTCAGCCTCCCCCCCGGGTGCTGCTGGCCGTGTTTGTGGAACAGCCCACCCCATTTCTGCCCCGCTTCCTGCAGCGCCTGCTGCTCCTGGACTACCCCCCAGACAGGGTCACCCTCTTCCTGCACAACAGCGTGAGACACCCCCCCGCCTCTCCCCGACCCTTGCACCCTGTACTCCTCCCTACCACCTTCTCCCCAGTAGGGGGCGCCTTCTCTGCCCACTTAGCCCGTGTCCCCTGTCCGTGTCCCCCCAGGAGGTATACCATGAGCCTCACATTGCAGACGCCTGGCCACAGCTTCAGGACCACTTCGCATCCGTGAAGCTGTTGGGGCCGGAGGAGGCCCTGAGCCCAGGCGAGGCGAGGGACATGGCCATGTGAGTGAGCACGGTGGGGAGCAGGCTGTGGTCGGTCACCCACCTGTGGCCCTTCCCCCCTGTCACCAGCCCCAAGGGGGCTGAGCCTCCAAACCTGCAGCTTTGCAGTCCTCTCCCTTGTCCATCTGCCACTGGTAGTGGGGACCCTAGGGAAGGAAAACCTGACCCCTCTCTTCTTCTCCTTGGGAACTGGAGAGTCCTGCCCATCCCACGGTCCCCTCCCCAACCCGCTCGCCATTCCAGCTCATCTGTCCATCTGTGGGTCTGTCGCCCTCAGGGACACCTGTCGGCAGGACCCAGAGTGTGAATTCTACTTCAGCCTGGACGCCGACGCCGTGCTCACCAACCAGCAAACCCTGCGCATCCTCATCGAGCAGAACAGGTCTGGCCTGGGCACCCCCAGAATCCCCAGGAACCCCAGTTCCTCCCCTGGGCACAGGCCTCCCGAGGCCTCAGCCCCTCCACCCAGCCCTCATCCCTCCCTGACCCATAGGAAGGTGATCGCACCCATGTTGTCGCGCCATGGCAAGCTCTGGTCCAACTTCTGGGGGGCCCTGAGCCCTGAGGAGTACTACGCTCGCTCCGAGGACTACGTGGAGCTAGTGCAGCGGAAGCGGCTGTGAGTCCTGCCGCAGGGCAGCACCGTGTCCCCAGCCCTGGACCATGTGCCCAGCTCTCTCGGGAGCCTGGGGTGATCACCAGAGGTTATGGCCAGCAGTGCTTGGCAGGCGGCATAAGAGGCCTTCAGTCTTGGGGACTGGGGTACCCCAAGAGAGGGAGCACATGGGAAGACCTGGGTAGAATTTGGGCAGCCACCACCTAGCTGACCCCAGTGCTGGTGCCTCCAGGGGCGTGTGGAATGTGCCCTACATAGCCCAGGCCTACGTGATCCGCGGGGAGACCCTGAGGACAGAGCTGCCCCAGAGGGAGGTGTTCTCGGTCAGTGACATGGACCCAGACATGGCCTTCTGCATGAACCTACGGGACAAGGTGAACAGGCTGATGGTCCAGGGGCTGGTGCTGGGACACCTGAGGTGGCATCCACCTGTTGTCATCCCCGTCCTTCTCATGCACACTGCCATCCCATGCCAGGGCATCTTTCTCCACCTCAGTAATCAGCATGAATTTGGCCGCCTCCTGGCCACATCCCGGTATGACACAGACCACCTGCACCCCGACCTCTGGCAGATCTTTGACAACCCTATCGTGAGTGGGGGCCCCACCATCAGAGAATGCTAAGGAGGGCGTCAGTGCATGGGGCACCCTGCACAGGGTCCTGGGTGGGGAGGACGAGCTTCCCCTCAGGCGTCCAACCCTCCTGCAGGACTGGAAGGAACAGTACATTCACGAGAACTACAGCCGGGCCCTGGAAGAGGAGGGCCTAGTGGAGCAGGTGAGCCCCTCGGATCAGTGCCTCTTGGCCCTCACCTGGATTAGTGGTTTTCAAATTGAGTTCCCAGGGGACCCAAGAGGGTAGCAGAGGCTGAGCAGATGAGCTCCAGCCCACAGGTCAGACACCAATCACAGCGACTCCTCTTCTGTCTCGAGTATTAGATGCCCCTCTGCTTCCAGTGGGGCTGTGTCCTAACCAACCCTGTCCAGAGTCAGAAGTCAGGGACCACCTGTATTGATGCTGTGGGTGAAATTACAGCCAGGCATGGTAGCACACACTGGGAAACAGAAGCAGGAAGACCACAAGCTCAATCAGCCTGGGCAACTTAGTGACTTAGCAAGACCCTGTCCCAAAATTTAAAAAATAAAAAGGGCTGGGATGTAGCCGAGTGTGAAGGCTCTGCATTCAATCCCCAGTACCATCCAAAAACAGATTACATCTTTAAAGAGGGATTCACTGGCTGGGCATGGTGATGCGTGCTTGTAATCCCAGCATTCTAGGAAGCTGAGACAGGAGGGTCACAAGTTTGAGACCTGGACAATTTAAAGAGAGTTCATCTCAAAATAAAGGAGGGAAAATGTAATGTAGTTCAGTAGTAGAGCGCCCCTGGATTCAATCCCCAGTGCTGCCAAAAATAAGTAAAAGAAGGATGCACTATTGAAAACCACTGTCCGATGCCAAGAATTGTGTCACAGTCCTTATATCCCAGCACTTGGGAGGCTGAGACAGGAGGACTGTCATGATTTTGAGGACTGGGCTACGTAGTGAGACCCTGTCTCAAAAAAAAAAAAAAGAAAAGAAAACCACTCTTCTGTGCTGGGGCTCCGGGCTTCTGCCATCTGCTCTGTGTGGCACAGAGGAGCCTGCCTGCTCCCACCCACCTCTGTGCTGGCCTTGCAGCCCAGGGCCTGGGCCCTTCCTAGCTCTCCCAGCTCCTCTCATCTCTGGTTCCCCTCCCACCTCCCTGCGTTTTCTCACTTGCATCTGCCCCTGGCCCCATCACAGCTGTGTCCTCCTCCCTGCCCTGTTCCCAGCCGTGTCCAGATGTGTACTGGTTCCCACTGCTGTCGGAGCAGATGTGCGACGAGCTGGTGGAGGAAATGGAGAACTACGGCCAGTGGTCGGGGGGCCGGCATGAGGTGAGGGGCGCAGAGGCAGGGACCATATGGAAGTGGCGAGGGGAACCGAAACTGGGAAGAAGCCATTCATTCATTCATTCATTCACTCAGAGAGTACCTACTGAGCCACTGGCCCAGATAGTAGAGATAGAGTAGAACCAAGCAGGGGCCTGGGCCCAGATGGGGACCAGGGGCTTCACAGGAGAGGTGACGTTTTAGCTGAGATGTGAAGGGCCAAGAGCAGTGAGTCACGCTGAGAAGTGGAAGGGAAGACTGCTGGGGTGGTGCACGCCTGTCATCCCAGCACTGGGAGGCTGAGGCAGAAGGATTGAAAGTTTGAGCCCAGCAACTTAGTGACTCAATGAGATCCTGTCTCAAAATAAGAAATAAAAAAGGGGTGAGGTTTAGCTCAGTGTGAAGGCCCTGGGTTCAGTCCCCAGTACTGCCATCAACAACACCAAGAAAGTGCTCCAGACAGAGGGAACCCAGGTATTAAGACCTAGAGATGAGAGAAGGAAAGTGGCTGGCACTGCCCCAGGCAGTAGGTGGCTCAGTGACCACTACCCGCAGGACTCCCGGCTGGCCGGGGGCTACGAGAATGTGCCCACAGTGGACATCCACATGAAGCAGGTGGGCTATGAGGACCAGTGGTTGCAGCTGCTGAGGACATACGTGGGGCCCATGACGGAGCACCTGTTCCCCGGCTACCACACGAAGGTGGGCCTGCACCCCAGTCCCACGTGGGAGTCGTCACGCAGAGCCCAACCGGCCAGTAGAGCATTTGGGGCTCCCTGGAGCCAGCCTGGGCAGGGGATAGTGCAGAAGGGCAGCAGGGAGGCGGCTGCCATGCTGAGACCCACGTTGCTCTGGCAGCAAGGGCCTTCATGCCCCCTGGACAGGGGCTGCCATCCTGTGGTGAGGCCCCCAGGGCCCCTGACCCTCCCTGCAGCTCCCTGTTTCGTCCCCTCAGACCAGGGCAGTAATGAACTTTGTGGTCCGCTACCGGCCAGATGAACAGCCCTCGCTGCGGCCGCATCATGACTCATCCACCTTCACCCTCAACGTGGCGCTCAACCACAAGGGCCTGGATTACGAGGTGCGCCACCTCCTGTTCCTGGGTGCCGCCAGCCCCCAGCCGCTCCCACTTCACCTAGGGACCTTTGCCACGTAACACTCCCCACTGCTCTCCTGGCTGCCTTCCTTGGCCCTGGCTACCCTTTTCCCTATTTGCCAGTTATTTTGAGGTATGTGCCTCCTCCTAGGTGGGCTCCCCTCATCCTCCTTGTGTTCCCCTTGTCTGTGATACCCCAGCCCCTCTGGCTTGACCCGCCTGCCCCCCACCTGGCAGCCCCCGACCCCATGTCTGCTCACCCCTTTCCTTCTCTCTTTTCTCTCCCTAGGGAGGGGGCTGCCGCTTCCTACGCTACGGCTGCGTCATCTCATCCCCCAGGAAGGGCTGGGCGCTTCTGCACCCCGGCCGCCTCACCCACTACCACGAGGGGCTGCCCACGACCCGGGGGACCCGCTACATCATGGTGTCCTTTGTGGACCCCTGATAATCAACCACTGCCAAACCTTCACCGCCATTGTGCCTTCTTGGGGGGCCTGGCCCCCACCTTGGAGACAGGTCTCTGCCCATATCCTTGCCTCCTGAGTGTGTCCCATTTGCCCAGGACTGAATGTGTCACTTTGCCAAACCCACAGCCTCTCAGGAAGCTGGAGGAGCCCCTACCCTTCCTTCAGCCTCCAGGGGCTCATGATGCTGGGCTTCTGGGGGTTCCCCCATGATAAATTATTAAGGTTCCTCAGCCTCTCTCTAGTAAAGGAAGATTTGTAACTCTTGAGTCAGCCTGCCATCTTTGACCTGCTGGTAACCCCGTCACCCTCCTGCCACCCACATAACTCAGAGAGGAGGGAGGGGGCATGGGGGAGGGGGTCATGGGCATCAGCAGCTTCCCCAGTCCCACTTCCTTGCTCCCCTTTCCTGCCTGAACTGGGAGAATGTGTGACAAGGACCTTTTTAGTACATGTGCTGCTGAAGCAAGCACTTGGCAAGGCTGGTGGAGAAGAGTCTGGGAGGTACAGATGCAGCCCTGCACCCTCTTCCTGACCCGAAACTTACCCAGGCGTGTTCTTCCCCTAGGGAAGGGGACAGGAGGACACGGTCCTGAGAAAGGCTCTCAAGACAGTGCTGGGGAAGGAAGTCCCCCAAATGTCTGTGCTGGGACCTAAGCTATCACTCCGGCAGGATTGGCTCAGGAAAGCGGACTCCAGCTGGGCATGGTTTATGCAAGTCTGTAATTCCAGCACTCAGGAGGCTGAGGCCGGAGAGTCACTGCGAGTTTGAGGCCAGCCTGGGTTACGTAGTGATTTCAAAGCCAGCCTGAATTACAGAGCAAGACCGGATGGGACTCCAAGGCTTCTCCCTAGGAAGCTTCCTGGAAGAAGGGAATGTGCGGAAGCTCAGAAAGGAGGAGGAAGGGGAAACCCACTTTAGAGGCCCCCTTCTGTCTCTCTTAGAAGCTTTCTCTCAGTAAATTCTTCCTACTCTTGAAAAAAAGGAAAAGGAGAGAGACTTGGAGCAGGACTGACTTCCGGGGCTCTGGGGGATCATGGGGCCCTTGCAAACAGCAGGTCACTCCTTTAACTTGGTCCTCCTCCTCCTCAGTCTTGCACTAAACTCTGAATTTCTCTCAGCCGTTCCCTTTTGGAGGTCTCTCAAAAACAGGACAGACTTGTTCATTTCCTGGGACATCCCCCCAGCCACAGCCAGAATGCCTTCGACACCTCCCCCATGAGGCTGCCGTCCTGGTAGGAAGGCTGAGCGTCCCTCTGGCTGGAGCTTTAAGTCCCTCTCGCCCTGGGTGCTACTAACCTTGTCCCACGCCTGTGGGTGGAAATGGGCTGAGCAAGGACAACAGGAAAGACTTCTTGGCAAGGACCCTGGTCAGGGAAACCTGTGTAAGGAGGAGGCAGGGATGGGGACAGAGGGTGTGCACAGCCCGAATGGTAGGACCCAGGCTTTGCCTGTCTCCTGGGGCCCACTGTTCATTTATCTATTACCTCTTGGTGCTGGACACCCTGGGAATCGCAAGGGCTGCAGTGAGGGACACGATCGCTGTCTTCTTGCTGCTTACAGCCTAGGGGAGATGACCTTAAGCAGAGACTCAGTGATGAAAGGGAAGTACTCCACATTACCAGAGGCACCTTCTTGTGATGTTTGTTTTCATGGCTTCCGCAGACCCTGGACATGCCGGGAGGCCATAGTGACCGTGAGGACACATCAGGCCGAGTCCCACAGCCTAGTGGACCCTGTCTTGGACTCACCAATCCTCAGCCTCCGACAAAACCGGCTCCTCCAGAGTGTCTCCCCAAAAAGGCCTTCCCTAGGGAGCCTGTCTGCCCATGAGTCCTGGATCTCAGATTAAAGTTTTCTTTCTTTTTTTTTTTTTAGAGGAAGGTTTTTTTGGTTTTGTTTTCAGTACTGAAGATTAAACCCTCAGGCCCTTCACACTCTTCTCCCAGCCCGTTTTATTTTTTATTTTGAGATGGCTAAATTGTTAAATTGGCCAGACTGCGCTCAAACTTGCAATCCTCCTGCCTCAGCCTCCCAGAGTGCTGAGATTATAAGTGTATGTCACTGTGCCCAGCTAGCTGTTCTAGCTGGTGTAGACAGCCCTGCCTTTGTGGCACATCTCAGATCTCCACCAGTGCTGCTGGCAGAGGCCTGAGGCCCTCACCGCCCTAAAGTTCAAACACCTTCCCCCAGCCCCTGGCCACACCCCTAGTTATTTCTCTTTGCTCCTATTGGTCACCTCAGCTCAGGGAGTGATAAGGCTGTATTGCTCTGGCTCAGGAGGCTCAAGGTGCCACTCAGCAAAGGGGGCGGAACCAGGGGGTGGAACCCAGACCACGGGTCAAGGTCAGTGGACTGGGTGGGGAAGGGGGTGCTTCTAGGCTGCAGAGCGCCCTGTGTGATTCCTCTGTACAGCATGGAGACCGCTTCCAGCCTCCTCCGCAGGGGTCTCCAAGTATTTGCGGTCCTGCAATGGGTCTTCTCCTTCTTGGGACTTGGTGAGTCCACAGAGCTCCAGGACCCAGACAAACCTGGCAACTGTGCTCTGCTTCCCCATTACCCCCAGGGAGGCAGTGCAGGGGCCTTTGGGATCCTTGAAGGAGTCCAGCAAGCAGGGACACAGATGGGCATGATTGCGTGGAACCAGGGCAGGGGCCTGGGAGGACTGGCTGAACGTCAGGGTTCTGAGTGCCTCCCCACTGCAGCCCAGGTGTGCTTGGTGGCCTTGCTCCTCGCTGCCCTGGGCCGGGCCTGGATCCTTGTGGCCCTCTACCTAGCCTGGCTCTACAGAGACAGAGACACACCCAGGGCTGGAGGCCGCCGCTCAGCCTGGGTCCGCAGCTGGGCCATCTGGAGACATTTCCGAGACTACTTTCCTATCACGGTGACAGTCCTGGGAATGGTGTGCTGGAAGAGTGGGAAGGGGATTCAAAATAGACTCTTGGGGGTATCATCCCCCAAAGCCCAGTCTTGCCAGTAAATAGGTGCACATCTGCTCCCCAGCTGGTTAAAACCGCAGAGTTGGATCCCTCCCAGAACTACCTCTTTGGCTTCCACCCTCACGGGGTCCTGGTTGTGGGCGCCTTTGCCAACTTCTGCACCGAGGCCACTGGCTTCTCCTGCCTCTTCCCGGGCCTGCGCCCGCATCTGCTCATGCTGCCCTGTTGGTTCCAAGTCCCTTTCTTCCGGGACTACATCATGACCAGTGGTGAGGAGGGGTTGAGTCCACAGCCTCAAGACCCCAAGCCTGGCGGTCACCTCCCTCTCCTTCTGTTGGGGACTCCTGGGCCCAGCTCTGCCTCCCCAGAGTCCTCCCGATTCTGCTCGGCAAGCCCCATGGTCCAGTCCATCCCAGCCTCTGCCTCCACCCAGGCTTGGTCTCCTCCGACAAAGCCAGTGCTGCCTATCTGCTGTCGCGTCCTGGGGGCGGCCAGGTGGCCGTCCTCGTAGTGGGAGGGCCCCTGGAGGCGCTGGAGGCAAAGCCAGGTGCACTGAGCCTGAGGATTCGGAATCAAAAGGGATTCGTTAAGCTGGCGCTGGAACACGGGTGAGGAAGGTGGGGGAGGGTCTGGGATGTGGGGTCCGGAGGTCACCGGGGCTCCCCTGCGGCCAGGAGTCAACTGTGGCCTGTATCCTCAGGGCGTCCCTGGTGCCTGTCTTCTCCTTCGGGGAGAACGAGCTATTCCAGCAGTTCCCAAATTCACCCGGTTCGTGGGTGCGAAGGGCTCAGGAGGCGCTGCAGCCCCTGCTGCGCGTGGCCCTGCCGCTGTTCTACGGCCGCGGGGGGCTCCTGCTGCCCTTCCGGACGCCCATCCGCACCGTTGGTGAGCGGGGTCCCCTGCTCCCCATGCGCCTGATGCCCGTCTTCGGGCCGAGGGTCATTCCCCATTGGGCTCTGAACCCTGTCCGGGCAGATCCCAAGGGTGAGACGGGACAGGCTGGCGGGTGGAGCTGGGACGTCCCATTGCCCCGTCCCTCCCGCAGTGGGCGCTGCGATCCCGGTGCAGCGATGCCCAAAGCCCAGCCGCGCGCAGGTGGACGAGCTGCACGCGGTCTACGTGGAGCGTCTCACGCAGCTCTTCGAGGAGCACAAGGCGCGCTACGGGGTCCCAACCGACCGGCACCTCCTGCTCAACTAGGCGCTCCGCCCCTCCCGCCCCGCCCCCTCCCGGCCCCGCCCTGTGCCCTTGGCTACCGCGGGTCGGGGAGTGGAATTAAAGATGGGAACGTATGGTGGCGCTCGCGTGTTTCTGCATGGTGGGGGAGGTCGCTGCCCAGCACGGGCCCCGCCGCTCCTGGGTGGCGTGGACACTCCTAGAGGCCTGCAAACAGACCACGGTCCTCCCGCTACGCTGCGCTGGAAATCAAGTCTCACCGGGCTCCGAAGGCTGGGACGCAGTTGGTGGGCTGGCCTGCATCTCCTCGTCCTTCAGTTCTTAGGGACCCGGGCCCAGCCTCTCCTCTGCACCCCCTTGCTCCTTGCCTGGCCTTTCCCAACTGCCTGCCAGACAGACCTGAGAGAGTTAGTAGATCAGGGCTACGAGGTCCAAAAATCTCCCCAGCCACACACACTGACATTTGGGGAGGTGGCCTGTGACCCCGCCAGAGTGCACCCAAATCCCCATCCACTCTGAGTCTTGCAGCTCCGCTGGCGAAGATGGGCGGATCACAGCCTGCTGCCCGGGAGAAGCGTTTGGAAGCAGCTGCTGGACGCAGTGGGTGCTGACCGCTGTGCACTCACTGTCCTCTTCCTGGGTGAGTGGACTCAAGTGTGACTGGGATGCTGGCCCGGGAAGGGGACTAGAGAGGCCATGGCTGGGGGCTGGACCGAGTGACTGAGTTGCAGAATCCAGTTCGGTTTCTTTCCCACCTTCCTCCCACCCCTGTTCCTCACCTTGTCTTCTTCCGCCTCTTCAGGCTGCTGTGGTCCTTCTCTGTCTCTGTGGCTGTCCCTGGACTGGGCAGGGCCTAAATATGGTGAGCTCCAGACAGGGCCCCCCATGGTGAGAGATGGGGGGGTAGGTGTGCTTGCAGGGACCCTGCCACCCCCTCTCTCTGCCCACAGGTGGAAGGCACACCGTGTGGTGACAATTTGGAAACACCAAATAGGTTATTTTCCTGTCAAGGTGATGGGTCCCCTCCAGAGAGACAGCCTCCTCCCCCCATGATGGAGACCTCTATGAAGCGGCCCTGAGTAGGACATAATGTTGGCCAATTGGCTTTCCATGTTTACTTGTGAGCTGTCCAAAGCCTAGGCACCTTGTCTGGAGATGGGCAATGGACTTACAGTAAGTGAACCTCTATGAGTCACTGGTCACCAGTGAGGCCTGTATTGGCCTGTGAAGCAGTGATGCCTCAAAGGACAAGATAAGGCTAAGCTGAGGACGTTTGGCTTCAACCCCAATTAACTAAAAGACTGCAGCTGCAGGCTCCACACTCCTACAATAAACGCCAACCTAAAGATAAGGTAGTTCTCCTGATTCACATAATTGACTACTTGGGAAAATTCTCCCAAGATTCTGCTCAGATTCCCGCATTTTCTTCAATATTCTCCTACTTTGTTTGAAAAATCTAATAAATACAGGATGCCCAGAAAAGTCTTTGTCTTAACCCAGAGAATCTCAAATTCTGTAAGAGAGTTGGACCCTCCTGGAGCCCTGAAATCATTTCAGTTGTCTCATTTATTTAAGCCTTTGCTGTCTACTCTCTTGGAAGATTGCAGGCCTGATCAGCCCACAATAACTAAGGGTTATTAACCCAATACCCCCACACCCTGCACAGCCCACTCCTGCTCACCCTTCGCCTTCCTGTAGCCTGCACCCCAATGCCCCAGCTCTGGCGGAGAACCGGGTGGAGCCGAGTGTAGAAGTGAGTCTCTGTGTCCTTGAGTCCCTCTAGGACCCTGGACTCTGACTCTTTCCAACTGGAGCTGGGCCTTCTCCTCCTCCCTCTTCTCATCCTTTCTGACCCCACGAAGCCGGTAAAGACAGGAGAGCTGCCCTGGGGCAGGAATATGTGCTGAGTGCCCACCCACACGGGCTCCTGGGCACTGGGCTCTTCTGTGATATCTCCATGGGCATCAGTGGCTTCTCCCAGCATTTCCCTGGGCTTCAGTCTTCTCACCGCTTCCACCTTCTGGTCTTTGGAGAATGCATCATGTTCCACAGCCTCAAGCTGGTGGAGGGGGGGGCACCCACGGGTCAGCGTGCTCCCTACTCCCACCAGGAACCCTATGTGGGACAAGGACCTGACCTGAACATTGGCCAGGCTGACAGTGGGTGCCAGTGAGTAGCTTCCCTGAGGCCTGGCTTGGGGGAGGGGGAGTGGGGTATGAAAGGAACGGATGTGGGTGCACCCTTCCTATGTTAAAAGTGGGGTGAGGGGCTGGGGATCTGTGGAGGGGGTGGGGACTACTTCCTACCTTCTCATGTTCACAGGGTTCATCCTGTGAGCCACCAGAGCCTGGACTTCATCCTGTCCCAGCCCCAGCTCACCAGGCTGTGGTCATCCTCATCAGGGGTGCCCAGGAGGCCCTGTACATGGTCCCAGGGGACTACCATGTCACTCCCCTGGGAACACAGTGGCTTCGTGTGCCTGACACTGAGGCTTGGGTGAGTGGACATGCATGTCCTGGTGGCCACAGCAAGGAATCAGCTCCCTGGAGGGTCTCTGTGGGACCACAGGTTTTCTCAGTGCCTGACATGTGGATCCCTGCAGGTGGGACTCGTGTCTCACAGCTGGAGGCTCCTGGCAGCCCTTTGGTACCTGACTCTGTGTCCAGCCTCATGCTGCTTCCAAGGGATTCCCTCCCGCTATGAGCAAGGCCAGGTCATAGGGCAAATAGCAGAGCCCTGGGGCCCAGCAACACTGGCCCTATCTCAAAAGTGAGACTTTGGGCTTGTTTACCTGTGAACCCAGCTACTAACTTCCTTGACACAGATGTTATAGATGTGAAGACCAAATGCGGAAATGAATATTTGAAAGCCCAAGGCACAATCCTTTGTTTTTTTTGGTTTTTTTGTTTTGGTTTTTTTCCAGTACCGGGAACCAAACTCACAACCTTGCACTTGCCAGGCAGGCGCTGTGCCACTGAGCTAAATGCCCAGCCCCAGCACAACCCTTTGTCAAGAAAAATGACCCCTTTCTTCTAGCTCTTTCTTTGCAGTCATGGTTTTTATTGTTGTTGTTGTTTTTGGTGCCAGGAATCGAACTCAGGGCCTTGAGCTTACCAGGCAGGCACTATGCCACTGAGCTACCTCACCAGCCCTGCAGTCATAGTTATATGCTTCAAAGGGCTCTGAGAAGCACCATCATGAGGCATGGGGAGGGATTTCCAGCCTCCAAGGTGCTGGTCCTGGGCAGTAAAGGAGACCAACCATACCTGTATTAGTCAACTTCCCATTGCTATAATAACTACTGATATAACAGAAAAGGTTAGCCAGGCATAATGGCACATGCCTGTAATCCCAGCCCTCTGGGAGGCTGAGGCAGGAGGATCTCAAAGTCAAGCTCTGCCTGGGTAATTTCACAACTTATGGAGATTCTGTCTCAAAGTAAAAAAGGGCTGGTGATATAGTTCAGTGTGAAGTCTCTGGGTTCAGTCCTGAGTGTCAGAGATAGAAATAGAAATAGAGAGAGAGTAGTTATGTTGGCAGTTTTAGAGGTTACAGTTCATAATGGGTTGGCCCTATTGATTTGGGTTAGAGGACAGGAGCACACCATGGCAGAAGTATGGCAAAACTAAACCACTTGACACGTGGCCAGGATGCCAACGGGAGGAGCCTGAGGCCCTACTGTGCCCTTCCAGGCCACACCCCTGTGACCTAACTCCTTCCCAAGCCCCAGCTCCTAAAGGTTCCACACCCGCCTCCCCTAGGGTGCCACTGGGGCACAGAGCCCTCAGCACATGGGCCTGTGGGAGACACTGCCTCAAACCGAGGCAGCCCCTCTTCTTTTGCCACCCTGTCAGGGCCTCTCAGGTGCCCTGTATTCCGGGGAGAATGACATCGTCACACTGAAGGCACCAGATCACCTTTGGGAGATTGGAAGGCCTCTCTCCTCACCTCAGCCACTCCTGGGATCTGCTGCCCTTCGAGTGCCTGTCACTACTCACGTGCACGCCCCCCCCCCACCTCCCTGCAGGGTGCATCCCGTCCCTGTGCCCCAGAGCTGCAGACCCACCAGAAGTCGGCCATGATCAAATGCTTCATGGGAAGGCACTGCAGCAACCGTTCTCAGACCACAAGAAAGCTGCCAGCCGTGCCCTGAGCCCTGGGCACTCACACCTCTGCCTCCTGCCATGCTCCATCCTTCAATAAATGTGCAACCTGGCACAACTGCGCCATCCCCTTGTCCTATAGAGCTGCCTCCTTACCCTGAACCCCAGCACCCTGCACCCTCCTCCCAAGGAGACTCCCTCTGCTGCGTGACCTGGGATAAGCTCTTCTTTTTGCTGAGCCCCTTCTGCCTCTGTAAAGGACATCCGGACAGGGGTGGAGAGGAAGGCTGTGCAGAGGGGCGGCTTTGAAGGGTGTGCAGAATGTAGGGTGAGGGAGAAGTCAGGGTGGACAGTGGAACAGTGTGAGGCAAAGCTGAGCTTGGCTGAGGGTCTCCAGCACGATGGAGGGATGGAATGGGCCTCGGGGATGGAAAAAATAGTTGGTTACACAGCTTGCCTCTGTACCTTACCAAACCTCTAGGGGAAGAAATGGAATGAGGGGGCCAGAAAAAAATGTTTTGCAGTACTAGAAATTGAACCCAGGGCCTTTGCACTGAACTATAGTCCTAGCCCTTTTAAAAAAATTTTTGAGGGGCCAGGGATATAGCTCAGTGGCACAGTGCCTGCCTGGCAAGCACAAGTTCCTGAGTTCAATTCCTGGTACCAAATAAAAAAGCAAAACAAAATGAAGCGATTTTTTAAAAAA